TACAACTACTCACACAAAATATAATAAATTCAAATTATACTATACTACTCACACAAAATATAATAACAGTAATTACCTAATAAAATTCAAATTAACAAATTATATTATACTACTCTCATTAATTATTATATCTCACGATTGCAGCAGAAAAGAATTCAAAACCTAAACCAAACCCAAATGGACCAAATAATTCTTTCCACACTTGACAACAAACATATTTAAATTAAGTACCATATTTGATCTGAACATTTCGGAATAGCTTTAGAGTTACTGTTGAAAATTCAATCTATAATCAATTATGCTTGACCAAATGGTCCATATATTAAATTATTTGTCATTTTTCATATTTTTTATTTAATAAAATCCTTGATGTAAATGAGTCGTGAGTTTATTGCTGTAAGCCACACTAAAAATGATATCTTGGAAAGCAAAATTAATACATCAAACGACATAGATCAACCAATATGCAATAACCAACCAAACGGGAAAAGCAAAATACAACACAACCTCTCCTAATTTGAGAACCCCCAAAGCTCTGAAACTTACCACATACTTCCACGGTAATAAATTACTAAATTATAGTAACAGTAATTACTTAATAAAATTCTAATTAACAAAATATTAAAAGAGTTTAATTCACAATTCAAATTATACAATACTACTCTCATTAATAAAAACCTATTCATAAAAAGAGTTTAATTCACAATAAAGAGTTTAATTATTATATCTCACAATCAATAAAGAGTTTAGTTAAAACTCATATTATACTAAAATTCAAAACATATAATAATTAATTTTTCTAATATAATATTTATTAATTGATACGTAAAATAAAATAATTTTTCTAAAACTCTACCACAATTAACTTTTATTATGAGTTTCTTAATAAAATTAAATCTAATTAGACAATTATATATTTAAAGAAAATAAAAAAATTTCTATAAAACTCTATCACAAATTACCTATTATATTTTCAATAAAACTCTATTACACTAGATAAAGATATATTTAAAGAGTTTCTATAAAACTCCAACATGAATTACCTATTTATCTATTTATTGTGAGTTTTTTAATAAAAGAAAATCTAATTCGACAAGTATTATTAATGTAAAAAATTATTTATTAATTGATATAAAAAGAGGTTCAAAAGAGTTTTTATAAAATTCTAACACAAATTACCTATTTATCTATTTATTATGAGTTTTTTTAATAAAAGTAAATCTAATTAGAGAAGAATTATTAAAATAAAAAATATTTATTAATTAATATAAAAAGAATTTTTAAAAGAGTTTATATTAAACTCTAACACAAATGACTTATTTATTTATTTATTATAAGTTTTTTAATAAAAGAAAATCTAATTAGGCAAGAATTATTAATATAAAAAAGAATTTTGAATTAATATAAAAAATAAAATAATTTTCCTAAAACTCTATCACAAATTACCTTTTATTATTAGTTTTTTTTAAAATAAAAGCTAATCTAATTGGACAAAAATTATTAAAATATAAAAATATTTATTAATTCATATAAAAGGAAAAACTACATATAGGTAGACTTAGGAGTTTTAAATAACAAAATGATCTATTTTAAAAGTTCATTTTTCAATTTGATTGAATTAAACAAAACAATTACAAATATTATTGTTAAGGTTTAAAATACTCTCCAAACTCTTATTCTAAAATACTAAAATATCTTTCTTAAAATTATATAATTCTAAAATATCAAAATAGGTATTGGAACTCCTTTGTAAGACTGTGCAAGTAAAGAAAATTGAGGGAAAATCATAGAATGAGTTGCATTCTCTCCCTCTTGCATGGATGCAACAGCCTGAAAATGTTGCAGAGAATCCATACCTAGCCTAGTCGGTCATTGTTAAGGGTATGAGATCTAAACATAGGTTGAAGCTTTTTGAGACAATTCCAATGGATGAAGACCTCATTTCTCATCAAAGGAGGCATAAATACTCGAGAGAAACCAATGAGTAGCATTACCAGAATATTCAATACGACATGTAATATGAAAATCCGAGCTATCAACGATTGAAATTTCTGTCATATATTTTTCATGACAAAAGAAAAGAGGAAGATGTTTGAGACCAGAAGGATTGACTCCTTTGATGTCAAAAAACCTAGGCAAATTTTTGATCAGTTAGTTAAATAAAGAACGAATATATAAGCCAAATGTGTCTTTGCTTAAGTGAGCAAGAAACACAGAGCAATATATATTCGTGTGTGCATAAAGAAGTCGGGGGAGGAGCTAGGAATTTTAGTTTGGGGGGCCGAACTTGTACCATTTAATTAAATTTTATTTTAAAAATAAATTGTAATATAATTTTGCGTATAGTATATATTCATAATAAATATACCTCAAGAAATTTTAAAAATGAAAAAAAATGCAACCTTAATAAATAGAAAAAAAAAATTGATATGAGAAAGAAATATATAGAGGAGCAAACGATAATTTTTAAGTAAAAACTAAAGAGATAAAAAGAGAGCATTGTTAAATAATCAAATTTTCTTCGACAATTATTTAATAATTCAAAAAGTCATTTTTGAAAAACCTTTTGAGTATTTTGATTTTTCTTTTGAAAAAATAAATCATTATTATCTTCATGAAAGATTCTGAAAAATAATAACTTTAACTAAATAAAATTACACAAGTTTTATAACTTTAGTAACTTATATAAAAAATTAATGGTCATACAAATTTTCATTTAGCGAGTAACAATTAGAAATATTAATATATATGATATCATTGTTGTTGTTGACGTTTTGCCATTTAGGTCTCACAACATTTTAGTTTCTCCTCCTTTCTAATGAACCCAAAACTCGCAAATGGTGATTAGTATATAATTTTAGATATTTTAATTGTAAAAATCGTAAGACTAAAATGTGTGACAAAAAGAAAAAAAACAAGTGACTGCATTTATATTAAAAATGAGGAGACATCCATATTTTTTTTCTCTTTTAAATTTTTAAGTTTGGTACTCAATATCAATGTTGCAGCGAATGTGATGATTATTCATTCACTTATAGTGTGGAATGTGGTTACAATGACAAGTAATGTACTGATCTTGAACATGGAGAGCTTTCAATATTCTATGTTAATTGAGGAAGCCTGATTTTCATTCCTGCATTTCATGTCTTCCTTGAGTTTTTTTCTTCAATTTATTAACCTCCTTCCCTTTGTATGTTATACCTACCACTATCAGGTTGTGCCTTTTTTTTGGGTCATTTCACAAAACTATATTTTTTTAAATAATTGTTAAAATATCTTAGTAAATATATTTTAGTCAAACTCTACCTTAAATAATATGAGTTAGACTCCAAAAGTCTAAACCTTGGGAAAGAAAAAGTCAAATTTGAACTTTGTCTATTAAAATAATGTTGCCTTATTGTTCTAAAGTTATTTTAAATAATAAGTAACACATTAAAGGTTTTTTTTTTTTGGCAATTGTTTCTCTTTATGTCTTCACCATGTACTTCTTAGAATCTGAAGCACTTTACCATTTTTTTTTCTTTCTTGTCCCCTTCCTTCCATTAAAGGACATCTATAATCATAGTTTGTTGTTTACATTTGGTCACACATGAATGATTATTCCATTAAATTTTTTTTTTTTTTTTTGGAAAGGTAAATGTAAATTGTATATAATTAATTAATGATAACACAAAGCCTGAGGAAGGCTAATAGTGTAACCCGTACATTACAAGGACTAGCCCTGGTCCAATTACAGCCCATCAAACTAATACTACTCAGGCCCAAGTACAGCCCCAAAGACAAAAGTCACAACTATTGACAGTTAACACAATCGAAACATATTCTCCAGAATTTTTAAACTATATTGATATTGATTATATGAGTTTGGATCTTAAAAGTCCATTCACTTTTTTCAGAAATGTTTAAAATTTATTAAAAAAATAAAAAAATAACTAAGCATATTAATCAGATGAATGAATTTTGTGTGATTACTATAAAAGAATCTCTGTTGTACCTCTTTGTTGTACTAGTTGATATTGTGACAATAACTGCTCTTCCCATACAACTTTAAGATATTCATGAATCAGCTACAAAGGTTTCAAACTATTGGACTTGCTTATATTCCCATTTGATTGAGTTGTATGTATGTAGAAAAAATTGTGGTGGTGTTGGATAGACACTTCGAAAAATAGGTCGGACAATCGGACACATGTCTGACACAATTAGAAACATGTGTCCAATACAATTAAAATCATTTACATTTTTTAATGATAATTTTTTTTCCAGGAACACTACCAACACACATTTTGGAATATGGCGGTATCAATTTGTAAATATTTTTGTTAAAACCACGGGGATTAACCTATTGGGGTAAAAATATAAAAATAAAATTGAGCTTGAAAGAGGGACAACATAAACATATTTACATCCCAGATTGTTCTTTTGCCATATTCTCACTTCTTATTGAGACATATTTATTTGTTTTTGATGTATCCATTGCATTGGTATCCTATTTTTTAAAATTTATTATATTGTCTGAATCATGTTATATTTATATTCATGTCCCTATTTTCTAAATTGTAATAAATTAGGCAACCACGGCAACATTAAGTCAAACCCTAAACTATAAAATTATTCGTTTAAGGTAGAACCTCTTACACACTAATGAGAGACAATAATAACATGGCAAATGTCTCTTTATTTTAAAAAAACTATAACATATAAGATTTTATTTTAAAAATCTTATTTAAAATTTAAAATTTAAAATATATACGTGTGGGTAGAACTTACTTCCCACCAATATTGAAGCAAAGCTTTAAAAAAGAATGTTAATTAGCCTTTGCTGAGTGTGATTTCTGGACAAGAAAGTTTCAAAAATATATTAGACCAAATGAATTTACTACCGTCAATCTAGATTGATGATGATCATCCACTTCGCTAGCAAATTTACGGTCCTGATTGTGCCTGTCACTCTAATAACAAACCTTTTATAATGCTTTTAATATCATGGGCAAAACCCTAAAATATATATGGACAGAGGGCCAAGACAGTAAAAGTACAGTAGATAAACCTCCCCCAATTTTGGAAACGATTTAGGGTTTTATGGAATCTCCCTGTCTCTCTTCCTGATTCTCATTCTTATTATATATTTAGGGCTCCTCCTCCCCTTCTTTCCCTAAATTTTGTTTCTCTCTCTAGGTTTTTTTTGTTGGTGGGATGGAGATGGAGGGCTTGTCCTGTGATGCTGTTCTCTTGGATAGATTTGTGTGCACTGTCATAGAAGCTGTCGTGGTTGAGACCGCCATTGTTGCTGCTAAATCTCTGGCTTGCTTTCTCTTCATGGTATAACACACATTCTCTCTCTTGGTTGCAATTTTTATGCTGCGAGTTCAGTAATTAGGGTTCATCATGTATTGTGTATTTCTTTTTATCGAAATTTTGCTATGCTTACCTGGTTCTCTGCTTCCTATCTTACATAGGGTTTCTTTTCGATTTATTCCTTGGAGTATTACTGTATTATTGCTGTCATAGCGTGTGTGTGTGCATATTTAATTAAAGAATAAGGGGATTTCTGTATATATGCATTGTGATATCGAGATTTTTCATTCTCTTCTAAAAATATTTTCATCTTTTAACACTTTGTTGACTGAGGCTATGGCCTTAAATAGAGCTGAATGGATACACAGGATTCATGTAGCCGACCCCAAGTAGTTGGGGAAAAGGCTTGATTTTTGTTGTTGTTTATCTTGTGTCTTGACAAATTAGATTTTGAGGGAAAAGGTTTCCATGGAGCAGCAAGTTTTTCATATCCCTGCTTAAAGAATTGTTTTTTATCTGCAATATTGCACACAAGATTTTTCTGTTTTTCTCGGGTTATTGAAAGGGACATCTTTATCTTCTTCTTTTTTCTTCCTTTTAATTGTGTTTCAGAGTTGAAAGGACCCTTTTTTAATGCTTAAAAAATGTGTTTATAGTTTACAGTTGTCCTTACTATTTCTTCTTGCTTCTATTGGTGATTTCCCTGTGATAATGATTCTTACACTATATTGGCATCACCTATATTGCCATGGTAATGTAGAATCTCTGGTTAGCAACTCCTTAAGAATGAGTTTCGAAGTATACATATTTATTTCTTTGTTGTGTAGGCCTTGATCCAGATGGTAAAGGGTTGGGGTTGGATCAGGTCATCAGGGTAGTTCTTAGGTTCAAATTTTGCCAAAAAAGGAAGAAAAGGAAAAGAGGTGTAGGTATATATACATGCATTAGGCCGGTGGCTGAAGGCATCTCTGTTGTTCTCCTCTCTTCTTCTCTCCCTCTTCCGTTCTCTCGTTTTGTGAAACAGCTATGGTTGAGCTATGGTTATCATTTGAAATTTAGAAAGAAATTATTATTATTATCATTGAAGGGATTTTGATGGCCAAACAGTATGCATGTGTAATTATATTACTTATGCCCCAATAAAAAGATTACCTTTTAGGGTCGACATATCTTATACGGACAACCAATAATGACAGAATAATGTGATGACAAAGCAATGTGTACGTGCATGCTACATGTCCTTGTTTATTGCTTCTATTACCCCTAGCCCCCGGTTGTCAAAATGGTAAGGGTTGGACCAATGAGATCACTCTACCCGTCTTATTCCATTGTTACACTGCACAATTGAGCTTATATCAACATGCATTCTTATCTTTATAGTTGATGACTAGATGTTGACCTTTTCCTTTTATATATATTCATAAAGTTTAGTGAAGATTAGTTTAAATTTGTGATTTGCAGAAAATTTGATTATTCTTCATAATATCTGAAATTTGAGTTATATCTTATTATCATTCAAGAGAAAGGAGCTTATTTCATTAAGGAAGTAGTAAATTTACTTGGTATACATGTATAAAATTAATAATGAATTTTTTGAGTCAATTCTGTTAAGTCACTCTTCTCGTGAAGTTTCTCTCCCTCTATCTCTCTCTCCACTTCCCCAGGTGAATAAAAATTCTATGGATTTATTTTGATCAGTGATTTAGGATAATTAATTGTATTTCTTTGTTGTATAAACATACTGGGTATCTGTCCAAAGTATAGGCATGTTGGGGGCATATCACAAATTTATATAGAACATTGGTACTTGGAACAGTTTGTGGCATTAATGTGTCATAGCTACAACCTACAAATCACTAAATGTAATGGTAGCCTACTTAAGTTGGATATGCAAGGGGTTATCTTTTTTGGAAGAGTTTTTACGGAAAACTTGACTTCTTAATTATAATTGTTTTATTGAGGATCTCTCTCGCGTTCTCTCTACTGTCCAATTCAAGGTTGAACCATATTATGTATATATATATTTTTGTTTGTGTCAGTAGTGAAGCAATTCCTAAACTGTGAGCGCTTAAATACTGAACAAATATGGTAGATGGTAATATCATTTGCTGTATTAAGACGAAGGGTTTTTGTTTCTTGGGTGTCCTTCCCTTTTTGGCCTCGCACTTGTCATGCAATGAATTTTTACCTGAATTTTGGCCCAATTACAGCTCATTGAAGTTGAGGTACTCATCCTTGTAAAATTTCTATTACCGTGCAATAAAATGAGTTTAATGGCATGGGATTGATTGGATGTGTAGATTCTGGTGGTCATTTCCTAGTGTTGCTTTGTGGGTATTTCCTTTTTTATCAGTATCTGTTGCAGACATTTGTATAATCTTTACCAAGTCATCCATTGGCTGCAAAATATGCACGGAGTGTCAAAATTATTCTGATGCCTATTGGTGACTCCATGTGAATCTGTAATAAAATATTATCCGTCTGTATGGAAGTATGCCTTGAGATGAGTACTTTTATTCGTCACCTTTTGATCTTTATCTGCTGTATCTTTAATCAATGTGTATGGTTTGTTTCAGATGGGAAATTTCCCAATTGGTATCAATGTCCCAAGGGAACCCGGAGCAATTAAAAGGTTTGACATGATATCATTTGATGTGCTTTGATTCCGTCGTCATTGCTTCAAATCTAACTGAAAATCCGATCGTTTTACAGGATTTCATTAGCTGAAATTAGCATAGACAGGCAGCCTGACCCAGAAAACGAAGATGGCAGCGAAACTGAGGATGATGGCGAGGATGATGATGATGATGATGATGGTGATGTTGGTGATGAGGAGGATGAGTCGTCTGGTGAAGAGGGAAATGATGGTGGTGAAGGGGATCCTGCAGATGAGCATGCGGCCAATGGTGATGGTGGAAGTGAGGACGACGACGATGACGATGACGATGATGACGACGACGGTGATGAAGATGAAGATGAGGATGAAGAGGAAGAAGAGGAAGAAGAAGAGGAGGAGGAGGAGGAGACGACTCAGCCACCTGCTAAGAAGAGGAAATGAGAGATTTTTTTTTTTCCTGTGTTATATTTTTTCTTTTTGGTGGAGAGATGGTAAATTTGTGTTAGTGCCTAGGAATGAGGGGAGGGTTTTGGTGGAGATGAGGGTAAAATTTCTGTTTGGATAGAGTTGCTGCTATATTATGTTGTGAATGACCCTGTTCAATGTTTCTAATTTTATAGCTCTTTTTAAGCAATTATTTTCATCCCTTAAGATTATTGTGTGATCTTATTTGTACCCTCCAAGATATCAGAATAATTGCTCTTTTATCATTTTATATATATATATTCTCGTTATATTTCTTTTACTTCTAAGCTTTAGATTTTGATTGACCTCGCCAAAGAAATGTCATTATTTACACTAGTTTTTTACATTCTCTCTCAAAAAAGCTGTTGTGTTGAATTTATTGAGTTTAGTTAGTGATATGTGCATGAAGATAACATAATCAATTCACAAATATTTGGTTGGATTGGAAATTTGTATTTATTTTTATATATTTGAGAATTGTTATAATAACTCCAAAAAAAGCAAATTTTAAAATATATATATATATATATATATATATATATATATATATATATCCCCTTTTAATGCTATGTTAAGATTTTAACATGATATCGGAAATGGACTAGTGCTATTAGATACCACCACTCAATTATATCTCGTCACCTCTTGGTTGTGGGAATGCACTCACTATAAAGGGATCCAATTTTGAAATTGGCGTTCTCACATACTATTTTTTTAAAAAATAACTACTCATATTTTGAAATTGGCATTCTCACACTTTGACAATATGAGTATTTTTAAATTTATGAGAAGGCTGAGAGTACTCGATAGATATTGAATTCATTGACCAATTTATTCCAAGAACTAGTGTGTTCTTGGGGGGCATAGCACAGAGTACCGACCATCCTTAAGTAAGACCGTCAAATGCAGGACAGCAGAAGAGGTGCGTTTGATGCTTATTAAGACAACACCTGGTCTTCAATCCGGGCGCATTACACAAAATTCCGGACCCCAAAGGGATTAAAGCAGAAGGAGAATCCCAAGCATAGTTGAAGGTGACCGACATGGAAGGTCCCAATGTGTTGCCAAGGTTCAAGAGGCAGTGACCATCGGGCTTCCTCATAAGGACTGAAGGGTCCACATCTTCAACGGTCTGAAATTGCTTGCAATCCAATTCTATACCCGACTGAGGACAGATGCAGTTATTGATCACTGTCACTCTCCATTCTGGTTTGCCTTGTACTTCTCTCCCGGTCGGGACTGTACCTACTATGATATCGCTCCAGTCACATTCGCAAACTCCTGTAATTTATTACACCAAAAAAATGAATATGCTTTGTGTGTGTGTGTGGAGAGAGAGATCGAAAGTGTTCTTCGTCAAAGTGATTTGGTTAAAAATGGCTTACCTTTGTTAATGAGGTTTAAAAGAAGAATTGCGATGAAAAACTTGAGGATTGCCATTGGCGAAAAATCTCAACAGAGATCTTCTTCTTCTATTGAGAATTTCAGAGACCGAATTTACTTTTGTTGTTTTGTTTTGTTTGTTTTTTTGGTTTCAGTAAATAAGTGAATATATAAACAAAAAATAACTACATAATACGTAGGGCATATACCCCAAGGAAAATGTGATTTTTGAACTAGAAAATCGTCAATTACTTCTACTTACCAAAAAAGAAAAATCATTTAGATTATAATGGTAAAGACTTAAAAGCAAGAATTGACCTTATTCTAATTTCCTTTTATGTAGTATTAATTTGTTTTTCGGAATTTTGGTATGTAAGTTATGTGAAAGATGCTTGGCTGCTGGGTATTATAAGGAAATCAAAATATTTTACGGACCCTTAATCTAGGGGAGCAGAACATACTAAACTTATCAAAACAATTCAAGTTGGTTGGGAGCAGTTTCTAATTTTATGGGGGCACACAGTAAGGCTCCGTTTGTTTAAGCGTATATTTACTTATGTAAAATGATTAACTTGTCTCCTTCTTAATAGACAAAAATAACCTCCAATAAATTCTTCCGCCTCATAAAAACCTCTTTATCTCATTAAAAAACATGGACATCATTGTAATTTAAAAAACTATCACTTTTAGTTTTGTTCAAAAACTCTATCGAATTAAGGGCTTGTTTGGCTGGGCTTCCTGTAACCTCAAAACGGGCTTCTAAGCCCAAAAAGTCCTTTGTCAATAATAAAGAGCGTTGGTAAAATTTGTGAAATGAACTTTTAAAAAGTCTCAGTGGTTTAAAAGCCCGATTGTCCAAAACCAATAAAACATGCTTCCTAATCAACTTCCCACAAGCTACATACTTTTTTAAGTAATAAATATAAAATTCCAATATTATCCATTATTTAATCTATTTCCATTTCTAAATTTCATTGCAAATTTTTATCATTCTATTTTTACATCATCTTCTTCCTTCGTTCTCTACCCAAAATTTTTTAAAAATAATACTGAGCAAAATTTCACAGAACTTTATTGAAAAAAATATTCTTGAATAACGATTCAACAAAGGAAGAACAAAAAGATTGAGCAGTTGCAGGAAAAAAATACTATTGACTCCTATTTGATTTCATAGTCTGAAGAGTTCCAAGATTTATAAACTCTCATCCAAACTTCAATTCTATGTAGAATTCTAAATAATTTTTCTTTCTCTAATATATATATATATATATATATATATATATATATATATATATATATGTACATATAAATATATAATTTTTGTTAGTCACTAATTGACTCTAGAGGGGGGTGAATAGAGTCAATGGTCAATGTTAGCAATTTTAAAAATTTGTTTCCAACTAAATATAATGCAATACACAATAAAAATATTCAAGCAATATAAGTACAATTAAAGAGGATAGAGATAGAGAATTGCAAACAGTGACTCGGTAATTTAGCGAGGTTCGGAAGCTCCTACTCCTCGGCTCAAGGTCCTCCCTTGAGACTTTCCAAAATCACTAAAGCTCTTCCTTAATGGTGGAGAGCAAATCGTCAATTGAAGCAAGACTTTACTTCTCTTCCTTGCTTGGAGAACACCTTTCTCCTAAGCTATGCTTTTTGGGTCACACCAACCCTTATAAGATAGTAAAGATATATAGATGAAGATTACAAGATTGTTTCTCTCTCTCTTTCTCTAGAAGATATTACAAGAATAACTCTCACACTAGAGTAAGTGGATGAAGTAAATGAAGCTTTAGTCTCTGAACTGATATGAGAGAGAAAAATGAGAAGTAAATGCTCAGATCTGAATTTCAGGCTCTTTGAATGTTCTTGAATGATATTCTTGAATGTTCTCTCTTATGAGTCACTTTCTTTGTACACCAACCTTCTGTATTTGTAGATATTTCGAGTTCAATAGAGCTGTTGAAGGTAGTTGGGAGCATTAAATGAAGATATAGCCGTTACAAATTTGAATCTGCAGACCTGCAACCAAACCAGTCGACATGTGGAATAAACCAGTCGATGTATGCTGTAAACCGGTCGATGTATGCTGCAAACCGGTCGACGTATGCTTCATGAATTGGTTGATGTATGCTTTGAACCAGTCGACATATATTGAGCTCCATTTGAACATTTACTACTGCCTAGATACCGGTCGATATGTGTGTCAAACTGGTCGACGTGTGTGAGCTTCAACTTAGATTTTTGCCACTGCCTAGATACCGGTCGACATGTGTATCAAACCAGTCGACGTGTGCTGCTTGAACTTTGAATTTTAGGCCCTTTTCTTTTGTAGATGGTCAAGAACATATTTTGACCCTTTGAATTTCATTTGGAACATTTTGTAAGAACATTTATAGTGAGATGAACACATTGAAGAACATTTGCAGCCTCTTGATGCTTTAGGTGACAATATGATGACTTGAAGTCCCTTCCATCCTTTCTATAACAAGACATCTATTTCCTTGCATTTCAACTCAGTTAAGCCATTAGTAAAAACACATCATTATTGAGTTGTTATCGTCAAAACCAATGGATTAGGGTATTTGATCAACAATCTCCCCCTTTTTCATGATGACAAATCAATTACGTGATCTTGAAAAAAAAATATAGGGTTTTGTAAAGATACTCCCCCTGTCATTTTGCCCATTGAATATATAAATTGACATGCTTTGAAGAAATGAAATTTTAAGTATTTTAATTTCAGTTTTGGAGATGTTATCTCCCCCTGTTTACATGCTTCAAGTAATTTTTATATAGCATTGAGACTTAGTGAAGTAAGAGGATAGTCAATTTTTATATAATGCTTTTCATGAAGAACATAAATGACTAAATGTAACTGGCATGCAATATTTCAAGCAATCATCTAAACAAAATATCTATGACTCAACTGAGATCAATTGCATAGATTATCATTAATCCATTTTGCAAATGTCATAACACACTATCATAAAGGTCACAGCAAAATAATATAGATTAGCATTAACAAAAGTCACAGCATAGATTAGCATTTAGCAAAAAGTCACATAAAAAAGACATAGTTTTTTCAAGTCAAAATATCCCACAAAATTTCCTAAGTGCAGATCACATTAAAGTATCCCAAGTGAAAAAAGTCTATATTCTAAATTTCCCACCAAATTTCCCAAGTGCAAAAAGGCTAGATCACATTTTCTCCCCCTTTGTCACATCAAAAAAAGGGGAAGGTCATACAACTAGTGAGGTGGCTGATCGAGATTGGTGCGCAATTCTTGGAGATCATCCTTCATGCTCCTCGGCTCTTCCCACAGCATTATGACTTCCTCTTGAGTTTGATGAGAAACAGCCAATTGCTGAAGAATTAGCTCGCGAATAGATGGTTCTGCGGAGGAGGCAGCCTGCAAGGTGTCAAGAGAAATTTCAGTGTCCGTATTAGCTGTAGGGATTGCATTGACTGGAGGGTTTTCATTGTCACTCTGGTTGCCCTCGTGTGCTTCCGCATCCGAGTCTTCAGATTCGCTTTCGGTTTGTGCACCACCCACAATTTTGGGATCAAACCAATTCCCATCATCATCTCTTTTTAATCTCATTCACAGAAGTGCCGACTTGTCAAAACGATGTTGAGATAACAGCTTCATTTTAGGTTGTCCAACAAATGATATCCCTTTCGCCCGGAAGATCTTAGAGAGAGGCATTGCGTAGTACAGATGGCATTTTTCGTGATTGATACAATCCATCATATGATGGTATATTAAATGAGGCACATCAATTCTGCGACCCTTAAGCACACACCAAGTCAAAAGAGCTTCCATGTAAGAAACGTCGGAATAACCGCCGGACTTGGGAATGATGGAATGAACAATGACTCGATAAATAAGGCGGGCTTTAATGGTAAGATCACTAGATTTTATAACATCAATTTCCTGATGAGCACTGAAAAGTGCATATTTAAACCCTTTAAGCTTAGGCATTCTATTACCTTTATCTATCTTACTTTGTCGTTTTAGATTGATTTCGTATTATTTCCATTTTCAGGCATTTATCCAGAAAATAAGCTAACTCAGCCAAATAAGAGCTTAATTGAAGCAATTATGAGATTAAACAAAGAAAGGAGCAAAATGGAGGAAGAAAGAAGCAAAATGAAGCAAAGCAGCAAGTTCGATCGATCCAAATCCAACGTTCGATTGATCGAACATTGATCGATCTCAGCACTTCAAGATAGATCCAAGCCTTGACCCAAAAACACTTAAGTCCAAAAGTTCGATTGATCCAACATCATTCTTCGATTGATCGAACACCTTTGTCCTTATCCAAATGATTGATCTTATCCATAGCTGTCCACCCACTAACCACCTTTGTCCTGTTCCCAAAAATATCTCCCAAAATATCTCGGATTTGTCTTTTCCCAAAAAGCTCAGCCAGTTGGATCGATCCAACCTCAGTTTGATCGATCTCAGCCAGTTCGATCGATCCAAGTCCAAGGTTCGATCGATCGAACTTCCTCTAAGTGCAAAAAGTTAAAATTCCAGCTCAGTGAAAGTTGTCCTTTATCCAATCATTGGAGAATATTGTGTGCACGACCTTAACTCATTTGGGGAGTGATTTTAACCTACCTATATAAGGATAAGGATTGCTTTTTAGTGAGGAGACACACATAGGAGGTTAGAGACACCATTGGAGATCTTCATCAACAAGAAGCAAACCTCTTCCATGGAGTTAGCCCTTGAGGGTTGGAGCATCCTCACCATGAGTGGCTAGACATCCTCTTGGGGCTAGAGTTAGCCCCAAGCATGCTTTCTATATCTTAATCTTGTGTATTATTGAGGGATTAGTGTTGTAATTAATGTTTTGACACTTTGATATATATAGATCATATTTAATCAATGATTTGTGTGGTTTAATGCTTCCAATTGATTATTTCATTCTATTCATATGTCTATATATGCTAGAATAGATGTTCATGTTCTTGTCTCTAGATTTTGTGCTGTTGATACATGTCTATGTGTATTGATGCCATGGATTTAGAGATTGTCAAAACA